ACATTGATTATTTTTTTTGAAAGATGGAAATAATTGAGAAACAATAAAATAATTAGGAAAACTGGACCAGTACAGCCGGCCTGAGCTGTGGATGAAGGTCACATCTTTCTCCTTCCATCCGTTGGCGTTCCCACGGCGATAAACGAGCCATGAACAGGTCATCACTTCTCCAGAAACTGAAATAAAAGCCAGAGACCTGCTGCTGTTTCTGTTCATCTTTATTAGGAAACATGAACGCATTCTTCCACCTCTACTGCAACGCTTCTCCCAGCGAGGATCGTACATGATAACACCGTCACAGAGACACCCCATAGATGCACGTTCACCTGCTCGACCTCCTTTTTTCTCTGCAGGTGTCACTTAAATGCAATGACTTGTGCTTTGATAAGAGAAAGAGACATCATTGTTTTCATGATACATAAGAGGGAGAATCAAAATAGAAAAGAAGTAAGAAGAGGATATACTGGTTTATACACTGATACAGAATACAGACACTCACATTGCAGCCTGCCCGGCTCAGCCCCAAACTGTCCCAACAGCACAACACCTGCTCCCTTCTGCTCCTGATTTTAGGAATTCTTTAAAGTACACCATTGTTGCCTTGCAACAAAAAAACTCCCTGCTGGTGAGAGCAGAGTTTGGCTAAATATTGCTTGACTTTTTGAAAAGGCTGCGCAGGAGAGCGGTGCAGAGACGCCATGACTGCAGGATTATCGTCTAAGTGCTAAAAATAAAAGGCGGAGCAGGAAAAATAAGGTGCATTGTTAGAGATGTTGCAGGTTTCCGATGCTGCGAGAGACCCGGCATGTTTGAGACTGGAATGCTTCTTTGGGGGGGGGGGGCAAACATCTTTATTTTAATGCAGAGAGAAAATAACACCTTCAAACTAGAGCTGCACAACATCTCTAACCATAAACATCTTCCTGCTGCGGTTCCTTAGATGGGAAAGTATCTAATCCATGCCGGTGTTTTCCAAAAGGAACAAATGACGTAAAGGTGCAGAATTAGCCCATCTGTGGTCCCCAGCAGGTCAATCTGGTGACGCCCAGATTCTGGCGGCGGCCATGACGGCATGCCAGCCTGTTAACGGACGGCAGGAATGCTCTCACTGCACTGAGGTCAGGGTAACTGGAGAGAAGCCACGGCTGCACAGGGAGAAGGTGCAGAAAAACCAGGAATCAAACCAGCAGCTTCCTCCCGCTAATTCGCTCTGGTTAAAGAAAACTCGCCAATCTGGAAGGGATCGCAGAAGCTCGATTTACAAACCGTATCCTTTTAGGTCCATTAGCTGTAATTCCACCCATTCAACAAAAAACCTTGGGCTTTTATTTTGAAGAGAACATAACATCCACTAGTATTACAGCCTAGTTGACAAAATAACATAGGAGCTATTTTAGCTAAACACCCACCCATCTTTATATCTAGGCTTTTATTTTGAAGGTCAGTCATGAGCTGTGGTTTGCAGCAATCCCCCGTTCAGGGGTGGCTTGTTCTTTTTCATGTGAAAACTGCGTCACATGACAAGACTCCATCTAATGTTAGGGCTTTTATTTTGGAGGACAACAATAACCTTTGTTCTGATGCGCGAAAACTGACTTATTCAATGTTTTATTAACTTTATTTTGAAAGTGCCTCTTGCTAACGTTTGACCTTTAGGTTTTAGACCAATCAGGATAATAATTCATGTTTACTTTCTGTTTCAAACTCTCCATGTTTGGAAGAATCTGATATTTCTACATCTGCTGATGCAGGTTCATCAAAAGCACAACTATTAAAATGTTTTTGTTTTTCTGATGTGGTGCAGCTCTAATTTAAAGTTTTTAAAAACAGAAAAACTTCTGAGCAGCGGCAGGCGAAAAGCAGCAAAAATGTACAAGCAAACTACAAAAATGTAAATGTTTAAATGCTAAGTGCAGACAATAGACGATACTGTATGTATTCATCATATGCAGGTTAAATACTTGAGTACATCTTCAATATGCATAAGCCTCCTAGCGAGGTTGGCGGTTCACTCTGACGTATATAAACACATAGAAAGCCGTATTACAGTGCACACGTCCTGCTCCCCATGCTGTACATAGAAAAGGCATCCACGACACTTAAGAAAAAATTTACAGTTTATGAAACTTGGTAACAATAAATAGTATTATAGAATCGCTGCTGTACACAAAAAAGCTTTTTTTATTTCACTCATATAAAAATATGTTTTAGTGCAACCGTACGTAATGGTAATATCCATAACTTCACATCAACGTTTAAGGTGTCCAAAAAATGAAAAAGAAGGGGGGGGGAGGAGTGCATTTATTACAAAGCTGATATGCAAAAAAGAGAGAAAAGGGTAATATTATTTATGTACATCTACCTTCCTGCAATCCGAACCGAATCCCGCTGGATGAAAGGAAAGGCACGCTCGTAGAAGTCCGCTGTTGAATCGGCGTTTTCCGCCAACCTTTTATCGGCGTTTTCCGCCAAACTTTTATCGGCTTTTTCCGAAGTCTTTAAATAAAAATGTCTGCGGGCTGCAGGCCGGACTCCGAGTCCAACAGACAGCAGTTCAGCTAAAATGTGCAAAGTTCCTTGTTTCTTCTCTTTGTTGCACATCGTCCCTTCCTATTGGATGAAAACGGAAACTCCGCCCCCTTTCTGAGAGGCGTCCTGCTTCCTGCTCTAGCTTTCCACCTCACGCTGTTTTCCCACCGTCGAGGGTTGGGATGCCGCGTGAGGCTGCAGGGGGTCAGATCCCAGGCCGGGGGGGTGAGGGGAGAGGGAGGAAGAGGATGAGTGGGGGGAGGCAGGGGTCACCGGGTGCGAAGGTCTGAGCTCCGCGCCGCTAAAGTGCTGAAATCCTGGAGCGGTAGGAGGCGACGGGGACGGACGCGGGGCTGGAGATGCAGATGAGGAGGAGGGCGATCGGACTCCTCCTGCTCCTCGTTGCACGCACTCAGGATCCAGGCAGAGGGAGGCGATAGCTTTGGTGCAGGTGTGGATGCCCTCCTCCTGCTCCTGCCTGACTCCTCCCCCTTCCACCTTCTCACCTCCTTTTCTGCCGACGGAGGCGACCTCACCGCTGTCCGAGTCCTCCGATACGCTCTTCTGCAGGAAGACCGTGGGCGCCCCCTGCTGGGCAGATGTGGGGATAGAGTGTACCATCTGAATTCCTCCGATGGGAATCATCGGGAATGGAGAACGCACCTGAGGAGCAAATAGAAGATTAGAAGCTCCGCCCACCAGGAGCAGCTTAACAGACACAAAACAGATCAGTGAGAGAAGAAGAAGAAGCGAGGTCCTACGGCGCCTGCCTCCATTGCAGGAGCTAAAGGTGCAAACAGTCCCTGCTTCACCTGTGGCTGAGCGAACCGCGCTTAGAAAGCGCCTGTGCCTTTAAATCAACGCTCTTAGTTTGAAAGGGATCTGAGAAAATAAAGACTTTATTTTGAAAGTCCAACCTTATCCCCTTCCTGCCTGGTTTGGATGCAAACATCAGAATTTTATTTTGAGAAATGACTATGAGCTTTGTGCTGCTGGAGATTCTCAGTTATTCAGGTCAGAGTCATTCCTAAAAAGTTTCCAAGTCTGAAGACGTTTCTCTTCCATCCAGGAAGCTTTTCAATCAAAATGTCAGAAATAGCGTTTAGTTCTGTATAAAACGCTATTTCTGACATTTTGAATTGAAAAGGTGGATTGTTTTTTAAATTTTTTGGAATACTATGAGCTTTATTTTGAAGGGCATGTATTGCTAATGTAGCTACAGTAATAGTTAAGTAGACATATGAATGTAGAGCATTAAAGAAAGTAATAAATATAAACATAAGGAATAAGCGCAGCACCTGAAGTTGTGAATGGGTGGGTAGATGGCTGAACAGAACCTGGTGAGGTGAAGCGGACTGGTAACGCTGGGCTGAGCCTTGATCCCGTTCAGATGGCGATGAGGAACCAGGAAGAAGATTCTGAAACAGATTGAGAGTCAACATGAAGAGCAGAAACGTCTGGCTTCCTCTATCTCTGCATTAAGTGTCTATCAGACGGAAACCTCCGGCTGTGGAGATGAGGAATTCCTGAAAAGTGCTTTAAATGAATAAAACCTCCAATGAAAAGTGCAAATATAGAGTGTGGGATCTGTGGAGAGCAGCTCCTGAAACACGGATCTATCTGCAGAGTCAGACTCCCTCTTGGGTTCCAGCTTGGCAGCAGCAGCCAGGGTTGGAGGTGAAGCTCTTGAGAAGAAAAACAGGAGCCTCATTAACCGCATCCCAGCCGGCCAAGATCCCATTACCAGCGGCGGCAGCGTCTTCCATCATTCTTCTCTGTAACAGTCGCTGTGTCTGAGCTGGACTTCATTCCCTCACCGTCTCTAAATGTCTCCTCTGCCAGATGGTTTCTCCTTCCACCAGTCGCTGCCCTTCATCCCTCACACTTCATCCTCAGTCTGAAAGGTCTTCACTCCAGATTAGCTTCTAAACAATGATGGCAGCTTTTAAAGGCTGATAGATAACTTTAACTGAGGGCATCGCCTCAAAGCGGCCATATTTCCTTTAACGATACCTTCAGACGGGAAACGAACCCAATGATCAGCCATGGAGAGATATTTCCCAATAATGGAGTTTCTATTCCATTATATTCTATATTTCATTAATTCTGTGATGATTATTTAGACTGAATAAATCATGAGCATCATAATATGTGTAGAGGGTCTGACATGGTTGTAGCAGGGTCTTAGGGAGGTCTTAGAAGACCTCCCTAAGACCCTGCTACAACAAAAAGACCTGGGTCTTAGAGAGGTCTTAGAAGGGTCTTTATTCCCAGCGTTTTATTGTTGTTCCATTCACAGAGCAACAAAATTTACTCTCAATGTTTAACCCATTCCCTCAGGGAGCAGTGGGCTGCCATTGTGCGGCGCCCGGGGAGCAGTGTGGGGGGGTCAGGGGTCTCGCTCACGGAGCCAGGGTGGCAGTCTGTGGGGCTTGAACTCTGAACCTCAGGATTCTAAGCACAATGCCCCAACCACTCGGCTGCTATTCCCCAAAGCATCTGATTAGGGAGGTCTTGGCATAGTTGTAGCAGGGTATCAGGGAGGTCTTGGCATAGTTGTAGCAGGGTATCAGGGAGGTCTTGGCATAGCTGTAGCAGGGTATCAGGGAGGTCTTGGCATAGTTGTAGCAGGGTGTCAGGGAGGTCTTGGCATAGTTGTAGCAGGGTATCAGGGAGGTCTTGGCATAGCTGTAGCAGGGTATCAGGGAGGTCTTGGCATAGTTGTAGCAGGGTATCAGGGAGGTCTTGGCATAGTTGTAGCAGGGTATCAGGGAGGTCTTGGCATAGTTGTAGCAGGGTATCAGGGAGGTCTTGGCATAGTTGTAGCAGGGTATCAGGGAGGTCTTGGCATAGCTGTAGCAGGGTATCAGGGAGGTCTTGGCATAGCTGTAGCAGGGTATCAGGGAGGTCTTGGCATAGTTGTAGCAGGGTATCAGGGAGGTCTTGGCATAGGTGTAGCAGGGTATCAGGGAGGTCTTGGCATAGTTGTAGCAGGGTATCAGGGAGGTATTGGCATAGTTGTAGCAGGGTATCAGGGAGGTCTTGGCATAGCTGTAGCAGGGTATCAGGGAGGTCTTGGCATAGTTGTAGCAGGGTATCAGGGAGGTCTTGGCATAGTTGTAGCAGGGTATCAGGGAGGTATTGTCATAGTTGTAGCAGGGTATCAGGGAGGTCTTGGCATAGCTGTAGCAGGGTATCAGGGAGGTATTGTCATAGTTGTAGCAGGGTATCAGGGAGGTCTTGGCATAGCTGTAGCAGGGGTATCAGGGAGGTATTGGCATAGTTGTAGCAGGGTATCAGGGAGGTATTGTCATAGTTGTAGCAGGGTATCAGGGAGGTCTTGGCATAGCTGTAGCAGGGTATCAGGGAGGTATTGTCATAGTTGTAGCAGGGTATCAGGGAGGTCTTGGCATAGTTGTAGCAGGGTATCAGGGAGGTCTTGGCATAGTTGTAGCAGGGTATCAGGGAGGTCTTGGCATAGTTGTAGCAGGGTATCAGGGAGGTATTGGCATAGTTGTAGCAGGGTATCAGGGAGGTATTGGCATAGTTTTAGCAGGGTATCAGGGAGGTCTTGGCATAGTTGTAGCAGGGTATCAGGGAGGTCTTGGCATAGCTGTAGCAGGGTATCAGGGAGGTCTTGGCATAGTTGTAGCAGGGTATCAGGGAGGTATTGGCATAGTTTTAGCAGGGTATCAGGGAGGTCTGCAAAGGGTCTACCATTGATCATATACAAAGTACTTTGAACTCCTATCTAAGGTCAACATGCCCAACATCTTCCTAGTTTTGGGTGTTCCTTGGATTCAAGCAGAACCAGGTATTCAGTCATTTAAGTCTCATTCTTTTCAATACTAGTTCCAACTAATAGTGAAACAGTCGTGACTGAGGTCTTCCAGGAGCCTGAAGACAAGGTTCTGTCAGAGCAAGTGAGTGAGTCTCTGGTTGAGCAGTGGAGATCAAGTAACTTTGGGTCTTGCTCATGACTGTTGATAAGGTGAGGATAAATAGGAAGCTAAAGCTGTAGCTTTATTGGCTAAGTTCTGGTACAGCCCTTAGTCTGAGGTATGGGTCACAACCCGAAGCACCAGATCCTGAATACAAACAGAAATGACGTTCTTTAGTTGGGCTGAACCTTAGGTACAGTGAGGACCGACTATCACTGTCTGTCTATCATCTGTTGGGAAGTTTTATCTTTTTGTATAAAGAAAATAAGCAGTTGGGTGGATCAACATGAAAGTGCAAACTTTAAACCTTTTTCCCAAGATTGAAAACAGAGACATTGAAAAGACCAGTTGGACTAATATCCGTGAAGCAAAAGACAGCGACCTTACCTTTTCCATCTCTGCACTGTGACGCCCCAGAGGGAAATCTGCGTGAGCCATCGCCGCCATATGATGATTGTTCCTCGGGCCCCGGGCCCCGCTGTGGGGGCTGAGTCACAGATAAACAGAACAATCAGTCAACTATAGTCATTTTAAAGAAGTTTCATTCAAAGCTCAGACAGGTGAAAGCCTCCATTTATTTACCTGTTAACTCTTCTATAAAACAGCTGATTTCTTCTAACTTTGATTCTACTTTTTGAAACAATAAGCTAGCACCGTGCTAACGCTAACAAAGGAACATCTCCTGTCCAACAGCAGATGAGCTTTCTGTATCTCTATCGGCTAAGGACTGAGTTTATCCGCGTAAAAGATGTGATCAAAATAAATTCACTGAAAATTTTCTGAGAAAGTCTGAAAAAGGTCCAGCAGACCAAAGACTTCAGGTTGGACGACGTCCACCAGGATCAATCAGAGGACATCTTGGCGTTTTGCATCATTTTATGCAGCTAATGCAATGGTTCCCAACCCTGTCCCTCAGGGACCCTGTTCCTCAGTGACCCTGTCCCTCAGGGACCCCTGTCCCTCATTGTCCCTGTCCTTCAGGGACCCTGTTCTTCAGTTACCCTCTCCCTCAGTGACCCTGTCCTTAAGGGACCCTGTCCCTCATTGTCCCTGTCCTTCAGGGACCCTGTTCCTCAGGGACCCTGTCCCTAAGGAACCAGTGTCCTGAGTCTTCTCGGTTCCTCCTTGTTCCACCAGAAACAGAATCCCTGATCAGCAGGTTTCTGTGGCTCTGATTGCAAAGGAGGAGCTTCTAAGATGAACAAGGAGTGATCAGGGAAAAGGAGACGTTCCTAAAGCCTGCAGGGCGGCGTCCCTGAGAACCAGGACTGGGAACCACTGAGCTAATGAGTTACAGGGGGTCTAAGCTCAGCCAATCAGGAAGCGTCCCTGGAGACACAGGTGGTAAAAATTCTGACCTTCTGATTCTAGTAAAGGAGCAGAGAGTCTGGATGCAAAATGCTAACGTTGAAAGTTGGTTCCTGCTGTGTTTGATTGGCTGCATTAAAATATCGCTAAGACACGGCGGTAAGAGATGAACTTGTTTGGAAAATGGCCGACAGCACTGAAGACGGTCTGAACTGGTCAAACGGATCAAACCTAATGCTAACGGATTATAGCGAGCGCAGTAATAATCTGCTGGAACCAACCTTTGGTGATAAAGGCCTCGGCGAGGAGACAGCGCACGGATCATTCCCCTGTGGCGTCCTCGTGGCGAAAGGTCTCTCTTGTAGTCCCGCCCCCCTGGAGATGTTGGCCGTGAGAGCGGCGAGAGCACAGAGAGGTGCCCCCGCCTTGGGGACACGTCTCGGCGGTACGCCCCGCCTCCCATGTCCCGCTTAGGGGAGACGTGGCGCAGAGGGGAGATGTCCCGCCGGGGGGACAGATGTCCAGAACGAGGTGAAAGGTCACGGCGTGGGGACAGGTAACGGCATGTTGAGGGGGAGGATGACGGGGAGCTGGGGGAGGGGCAGCCAGAGAGCTCCAGCCCAGGTGAGGAGGAGGAGGACAGATCTGGGGAGGGGACGGAGATATCCTCATCCATGAAGGAGGACAAGGGTGGAGCCAGGAGGCTGTTCCGCTCCAGATGTTGCTCCGCTGGATTCCACTCAGTGGGAGGAGCCTGAGATGTGATCTGGATGCTGGGGATAGTGGTGAAGTATCCGAACAGAGGCGCCCTGCTGGAGTGCCCCACCAGGTGGAGGTCTGGCGCCACCGGGTGGGACAGGTGAGGAGCGCTGTGGGTGGAGGCCCCCGCTGTGATGGACAGTGAGGGCAGCGGATACGGCTGAGGGCTCGTGGAACGAGAACGGCTCTTTGGGGTGGAGTCGCCATCGTAGTCATCCTCATCGTCCTCATCTTCATCCACCTCGTCACAATCCTCCTCACCGCCCTCCGAATCATCGGCGTCCGAGAACTGGTGCTCCGCCACGGTTCCTCTGGACCGCTTCTCTGAAGATCTCTGGCCTTCCTCTCCTCCATCTTCAACACAAAGGAAGCAAAACCGAGGAGTGAGAGAAAAACAATGAGAGAAAAAGGATTAAAACAATCAGCTTGCATTAAAATGTGGTGAAAGTTTACATGTTGCATAAAACACCTCAGAGAGCCGATTCCCACGGCTAAAGCTAATAAAACGCAGAGCTATAAAAGCTGCTGGAGTCAAAAACGTCTCTGAACACTTTGGTTTTTCCAGCAGATGGATTCCAGCCAAACAGCCCAGAAGTTTTCCTGTAAAGCGGCTGAAAAATGGCCGTCATAATCTGAATTTATTGATAAACAAAACCAATAAAATAACTCTGGAAAAAAGTGACCCTGAGTTCCTGCTTCAGGTTTCTGGGTTGAAGTTTGAATAATATTCATCCTCTGTTTGCTTCTCCTTCAATAAATCAGCAACTAGTCCAACATTTATCTGTCAGTGACTCATCGGTGGGACGTCCTCTGCGTCTCCTCGTGTGTCTGAATGAAACGGCGAGCCAAACCCCCCAGCAGGGGTCCATCGAACAAAGGAATTTAATCTGGTGGGAAACTAGCATCAGCTACCATCTCTATGCTAATTAAATACAGCATTTTAATTCTATTCAGTTTATTTCTATAGCTCCAATTCACATCATGTCATCTCAGGTCACTTTCCAGTTCAACCAGATCATCCAGTCAGATTGATTCAAAGTTTTCTATCTAAGGAAAACCAGCTGATTGCATCGACTCATTGACTCTTCAGCAATCCCTCACACTAAGCATGCTTGTAGAGACAGTGGAGAGGAAAAACTCCCTTTGAACAGGAAGAAACCTCCAGCAGAACCAGGCTCAGTGTGAGCGGCCATCTGCTGAGGCCCACTGGGGTTCAAGGAGACAGAAGCACCAACAGCAGAAAGGGTTAATTTCAGGATTGTGTCCAAACAGCTGCCTGCGGCGCCGTGGAGAGGCTGGGAGCGCTTTTATTACTCTAAATCATTTTAAAAAGAAGCAACTTCAGTAGTGAAGATGCTAAAACGCTGATGACCACACTCCAGCACAGTAGGGGGCAGTGTTAGCCTAAAGTAACTCCAGTTGTGGAGTAGATGTGAAGGATGGAGGCATCAGATGGTAAATACTATGAGCTCAGACACTAAAGCAGTTCAGACCACACATTAGTATACAGGCGCCTCATTGGACACTGCCAGCAGCAAGGCCGACGTGCCTATAGGGCGGCCATCTTGGGTCAGACCACAGTTCAGACAGCTGCTGTCAGGACGAATAGGAGGCGCCTCAGATCTCATTTTAATCACATGAAGACGAGTGTCTGAAATCATAAACTCCCATTTGCTTCTCTGACAGCAGCCTGGTCTGACCTAAGATGGCCGCTCCGTTGGCACGCCTTTCACCTGATGAGGCAGCGTCTATGGATGTCTATGGATCAGACAGCCTTGTAATCCATTGAAGGTTAGCGGAGCAGCGAAGGCGGCTCATGGTAGCTGGAAACGCATCATTTCTGTCTGTTTACTGAAGAATCAGAGCAACTCTTCTGCCAAAGCGTCTGAGTTCTACTGAAGATTTTAACGTTTTCTTTTCTACCTCCTTCGTCCGCCTCGGTGTCTTCGATCGACGACATGGAGACGCCCAACTCCAAACACTTTTTCATATGAGCCTTGGACTTCATGTGCTTCGTCAGATTTCCTGCAAACGACAGAGAGACAAACAAACAATCCCAAATTACTGACTGGTTTAACTGGACGCCTGGTTTTACTGGACGACTGGTTTTACTGGACGGCGTGATCCATCACTGCAGAACAGTGATGGATGGATGGATGGATGGATGGATGGATGGATGGATAGATGATGGATGGATGGATGGATGGATGGATGGATGGATGATGGATGGATGGATGGATGGATGGATGGATGATGGATGGATGGATGGATGGATGGATGGATGGATGGATGGATGGATGGATGGATAGATGATGGATGGATGGATGGATGGATGGATGGATGGATGGATGGATGATGGATGGATGGATGGATGGATGGATGATGGATGGATGGATGGATGGATAGATGATGGATGGATGGATGGATGGATGGATGTTTGGATGGATGGATGGATAGATGATGGATGGATGGATGGATGGATGGATGATGGATGGATGGATGGATGGATGGATGATGGATGGATGGATGGATGGATAGATGATGGATGGATGGATGGATGGATGGATGATGGATGGATGGATGGATGGATGGATGGATGATGGATGGATGGATGGATGGATGGATGATGGATAGATGATGGATGGATGGATGGATGATGGATGGATGATGGATGGATGGATGGATGGATGTTTGGATGGATGGATAGATGATGGATGGATGGATGGATGGATGGATGTTTGGATGGATGGATGGATAGATGATGGATGGATGGATGGATGGATGGATGATGGATGGATGATGGATGGATGGATGGATGGATGGATGGATGGATGGATGTTGGATGGATGGATAGATGGATAGATGATGGATGGATGGATGGATGGATGGATGGATGGATGATGGATGGATGGATGGATGATGGATGGATGATGGATGGATGGATGGATGATGGATGGATGGATAGATGATGGATGGATGGATGGATGGATGGATGGATGATGGATGGATGGATGGATGATGGATGGATAGATGATGGATGGATGGATAGATGATGGATGGATGGATGATGGATGGATGATGGATGGATGGATGGATGTTTGGATGGATGGATGATGGATGGATGGATGATGGATGGATGGATGGATGGATGGATGATGGATGGATGGATGGATAGATGATGGATGGATGGATGGATGGATAGATGATGGATGGATGGATGGATGGATGGATAGATGATGGATGGATGGATGGATGGATGGATGGATGGATGGATGGATAGATGATGGATGGATGGATGGATGGATGGATGGATGATGGATGGATGGATGATGGATGGATAGATGATGGATGGATGGATGGATGGATGGATAGATGATGGATGGATGGATGGATGGATGGATAGATGATGGATGGATGGATAGATGATGGATGGATGGATGGATGGATGGATGATGGATGGATGGATGGATGATGGATGGATAGATGATGGATGGATGGATGGATGGATAGATGATGGATGGATGGATGGATGGAAAATGGATGGATGGATGGATGATGGATGGATGGATGGATGTTTGGATGGATGGATGGATGGATGTTTGGATGGATGGATGATGGATGGATGATGGATGGATGGTTGGATGACATTTGGATGACGGTTGGATGACGGTTGGATGCTCTACCTTTAGTCTTGAAAGCGAAGTTGCAGAACTTGCAGACGTAGGGCCGGACGTCGGTGTGCGTTCGGATGTGTTTCTTCAGCATGCTAGGTTTCTTGCAGCGGATGCCGCATTCCTCGCAGATGTACTTCCCGCGGCCGCGGCCTCGAACGTAAACGTAATCCTCGTTGGATTTGAACCTGCAGGAGACATGGGCAGAGTGGGCGGAGTCAGACGGATAAACCTGATAATGTTCCCTAACAGTCTTTGGTTTGGAGGTGAACCTGGACATTAGCAGCTCTGCTAACCGCTAGGCCTCCCTATAGATATATACATATAGAGTTCACCGCTGTACACAGCATATGTTACCAGGCTGGTTGTCATGGGAACCACTAGTATCTCTGTCCTCGGCTGGGAGGTCAGAGGTCAGGATGGCAGAGCTTATTAGGCCACCAACCACCGTCCCTTAATATATGAGGGACCGGACCCAGCCTTTAGCTGGCAGGAAACACGGAGTCCTACCGAGTCCTACTGAGTCCTGCCGAGTCCTGCCGAGTCCTGCCGAGTCCTACCGAGTCCTACCGAGTCCTGCCGAGTCCTACCGAGTCCTGCCGAGTCCTGCCGAGTCCTGCCGAGTCCTACCGAGTCCTACCGAGTCCTGCCGAGTCCTGCTGAGTCCTACTGAGTCCTGCTGAGTCCTACTGAGTCCTACCGAGTCCTGCTGAGTCCTACCGAGTCCTGCTGAGTCCTACCGAGTCCTGCTGAGTCCTGCTGAGTCCTACCGAGTCCTGCTGAGTCCTACCGAGTCCTACCGAGTCCTGCTGAGTCCTACTGAGTCCTGCTGAGTCCTACTCCCCAGTCCTGCTGAGACCTGCTGAGTCCTACCGAGTCCTGCTGAGTCCTACTGAGTCCTACTGAGTCCTGCTGAGTCCTACTGAGTCCTGCTGAGTCCTACTCCCCAGTCCTGCTGAGACCTGCTGAGTCCTACCGAGTCCTGCTGAGTCCTACTGAGTCCTGCTGAGTCCTACTGGGTCCTGCCAAGTCCTGCTGAGTCCTGCCCCAAGTCCTGCTGAGTCCTGCTGAGTCCTGCTAAGTCCTGCTAAGTCCTGCCCCCAAGTCCTGCTGAGTCTTGCTCCTAAGTCCTGCTGAGTCCTGCTGAGTCCTGCTGAGACCTGCTGAGTCCTACTGAGTCATACTGAGTGCTGCTGAGTCCAACTGGGTCCTGCCAAGTCCTGCCCCCAAGTCCTGCTGAGTCCTGCTCCTAAGTCCTGCTGAGTCCTGCTGAGTCCTGCTAAGTCCTGCCCCCAAGTCCTGCTGAGTCTTGCTCCTAAGTCCTGCTGAGTCCTGCTGAGTCCTGCTGAGTCCTACTGAGTCCTACTGAGTCCTACTGCGTCCTACCGAGTCCTACCCAGTCCTACCGAGTCCTGCTGAGTCCTGCTGAGACCTGCTGAGTCCTACTGAGTCCTACTGAGTGCTGCTGAGTCCAACTGGGTCCTGCCAAGTCCTGCCCCCAAGTCCTGCTGAGTCCTGCTCCTAAGTCCTGCTGAGTCCTGCTGAGTCCTGCAGATTCCGCTCAGACAGGCTGAGGTTTTAGGGAACTGCTGGTTTCTGGTGTCACTTCCTGTCCCGTCTGCAGCAGCCAGAGGTAACGGGCCGTTCAAGGCTTCGCATATCAAAGACTCGTCTGCAGCAGTGCAGGCTGGGAAATACCTGGGACTGCTGACACGTTTACACAGCTGTGGCCGCTTATGGAAATGAATAATGATGACTGAATATTCAGTTTCATCTGCAGCAGCTTGAAATCTCATTAATGCAGCGTCACTCTGAAACCAGCTGAAAGCTTTGGAGGCAGGAGCTTCATGAAACTCTGATGTTTATGCTAAATTATCTTTAAAGTCTCCTCAGTTTTAAAGAATCACGATAATAAATCATCAGGAAGCTGAACGGAGGACTTCCTGCTGCATCATCTTTATACTTTTCATTGAAAATCCATTTAAATTTATCCTGTTTAAACTTTTTTGAACAGATTTCATTTTGTGTTTTATTTTGAAAGGTAACTTCAACCTTTATTTTGAAAAGCCGACATGCTGCCAATGCCTTCATCATTTAGGAACCTGCTGCTAGAAGAAGCTAACCTTTCAGCTATTAGCTTCCTGGAGACCTACCCGCCTTCGAAGATCTTGATGCGCGCCGGTTCGGCAGCAGGCGGTTTGATTGACACCTCCTTCTCCACCTGCTCTTCCTTGGAGCGTTCCCACGACACCACGCCCTTCATCTTCCTCCCAAAGTGACTCACGTCGACGGGCATCAGCTCCGGCTTCAGCTGCAGAAACAAGACCACAGCTTTGGCTTCCTGCAGGTGGCTAACACGCGGCGAAGCGTTGAGGCGGGAGGCACACCTGGGGACGTACCTGATCAAACCTCAGCTTCCAGGCCACGGAGGACACCAGCTTCCCCGAGCTGGGAGGAGACACGGCGGCGACGGTGTACATCAGGTCAGCGTTGCTCCTCTGTTTGGACCTGAGCAGCGCCAGCGCCGCCTTGGTGCTGAGCTGCAGCGGGTTGGGATTGTAGGAGCTGATGGACCATGAGGCGTAGACGGAGCTGTGGGAAGCTGCCAAGGTGCTGTTGGGTTTGGTGTAGTTCCGGAAGCACCAACTGACGCAGCTCATGGTGCGCAGGCTGGGGAACTGGAAAAGCTGCGGCGCTCCCGTTTCTCCACAACGCTTCGCCGCCGCGGCTCGTTTCTCAGCGCTGTCTGCGTCGTTAGAGGACAGCATGGGCTCCGGGCTGGAGCTGGACTGCGGCGGAGCTTCATCCACGTCCAGCTCCTCCGGGGAGTCCCGCCCCCCTGAGCGATCAGTGATGATCTGGAGCGGGGGGGTGAAGCTTTCAGCGCGGGGGACGTCTGGGAGGTGTGGAGCTGGGGATCGGACGGGAACCGCCATCTTTGCCGCCACAGGGAAAGGGGAGGAATCGTCCATGGAGTCTTCGCTCTTCAGACCTCGGGCCTGTTTCCCAGGGTTGGATGTGCGTTCGGCGCCGCTCAGCTCCACGGCGCCCATTTCTCTCACTATCTGCCCGTACATCCTTTCCTCCTTCACTCGCTTCTGCTGCTTGGTGTCGAAGAAGCGCTCCAGGGAGCTGGTGGGCGAGAGCATGCGTTTGCTGGCCACCATGTTGGACGCCGAGGCGTCTGTAGTGGATAGAGTCCCTGACGTCAGTGACAGAGGGATTCCTGTTTTCACCTGTTGCTCCGGCAACGGGAACCGCAGCCCTGCAACATCTACCTGTCCCAGGAGGAGGGGCAAGTTAAACCCTGTCCCACTCATCCCCCCCCCCACCGACCTCCCAGAGTTCCCAACAGGAGGAGACATGTTGGCCATCCCGCCGCTGTCCAAGTCTAGCGCCGCTCCTCCGGTGCCGTAGGAAGCTATCAGCTGGCTGACGCTAGTGTACATAGCACTACCGAACGATGGCACGTTAGTCTGGATCCTGACTGGGACCAGTAGGCCGGGCAGAGACGACTGGGATCCCAGGCCCTGAGTGGCAAACACCGGCTGGACCTGCTGCAGGAACAGGGAGGGGCTGGAGGGGAGGGGGCCCAGGTTCCGCACCGACAGCGAGGAGGCGTAGACCTGCGAGCCGTCTGCTTTCCCATCGTATGTCTGCGGCTCGGGGATCGGCTGCTTATGAGCCGGAATTCCCGACGGGTTTCCCTGGGATCTGATGTGAAGCTTGAGGAGTTGCTGCTTCTGTTCCGACTCTTGATTCCAGAACAAACTGGGCTGTAAGATGGAAATGAAGGGAGCAGCAGTCTGGTACTGGTGGGGCAGATCTTTGGCCAAAGCCTCCATGGCTGCGTGTTCTCCTTCAGACGAGGAGCTCTGCGCCTGCAGGAGATGCTGCTGCGTCCTGCATTCACACAAATCAGTGCATTCATTTTTTAAATGTGGGAAACATTAAGGATGAAATTCTATAGTTTGCTGTAAAAACAGAAGTATGTTTTAGAGGCTATCACCTTCCATAGACGGGTTCATCCTGTAGGCTGTCCTCACTGATGCTCTGCTGGAGGCTGCTCTGCTGGTGCTGCTGGGATCCTGCAGGAGGAAACATTACTTAGACTGAAGCTGCCTGTAGAGAAACTCACTGAATCGATTCAAAGCAGATCGTAGCTTTAGAAAAAGCTTTAATACTTCATGTGACGAACTAATAAATGATGCAGTAAAATCTGGAAAGCAAGATCCAGCCTTAATCTAGTCATGGCCGGTCTTTAACTAGGCCACTCTAAAGCTACGTTCACAATACTTTGAGCATCAAAGAAGCTTCTGCATCTGTTTCCAGATGCTTCTGCTGCTCCTGTGTTCGATGCCAGAGAGCAGCTTTGCTATATTAGCTGTGATCAGCGGGTAGAAAGTAGTTAGAATCTATGTTGAAGTGAGAAAGTCCTCCTGAAAACATGGTCTGTGCAGTCAGTTCATCCAGATTACCATCCTGCCTTCAAAGATTATTTCTCTGTGGGAGCCGCTCAGACCCCCACATACCAGCGCTGCGCTGTCACTGGGAATCCCCAGCAGCAGCTGCCTCAGGCCCGCTCGCCTCTCCAGGGTTTTCCCCTCCTGTTGGTGGCGGCTGGAAGTAGATGTTAGCGTTTTTCAGGTCTGTGCTACAAACTGCAGGCAGCAGGATAATAAAAGCCAACATATTCTGCCGGCAGGTTTCTACATTTGAAGTTAATTTAGGCGTTAATAAACTGTTTCAGAGGAGTGATCATAGCGCTCTGCATCAGCAGTGCTGCGTCTGACTCCCTGCCAGCTCCCAGATCAGCTCCAGCAGCTGCTGCTTCAGAAGCGCCTCAGATGCTCAGAAGCTCAGGAGGCGCTGCTCCTGCTGCTCCTTCTGCTCCTGCTGCTCTAGACACTGCAGGACCTTCTGATGCTACTCAATCATTGACTGCAGGTAAACCTGCTGCTTCTGCAGCTTGAAGCGAGTCTGGCAGCTGCAGGCATTAACACTCTATTCTGATTCCAATGACGTCACCAGCGAGTGTTTTCTGTGCTTCGGGAAGTAAACATGGATAGTAGCGCCGGAGCGCATCTCGCCATGTTTAATTTCAACCTCAGTTCATTAACAACACAATCTTTTCAGCCGGGTTAAAAATAAATGCTGCTCTCAGCATCGTCGTCCGCCATGTTGTTTTTCTTCCTGCATCTGAAGAAGCAGAATATTGACCTTTGTCAGATATTAATGGCGTTCAGGTTGGATGAATGCGACCTGAACGCCATTAAAAAGATCTGATCGGATTCAGGACCAGTGGACTGGGTCACATTGGAAAACTCTGTGTCGGTCAGACTGCCATGGTTCAGATCCAGCTCACATGTGGGCATAAATTGGACTTTGGGTGACTGCAGGCTAGTGAGTGCATGTAGCTAAAGCCTGATTAGGGGCCGGTTCAGAACAGTTTCAAAGCTTTAATCATTAATTATTTGAATTCAGTTTATTTCTATAGTGCCAATTCACATCACATCATCTCAAGGCACTTTGCAGAGACACCGGAACCAGATCATCGGGTCAGAATGAAAGCAAAGGCTGACTGCCAGGCTTACCTCTGACGCAGCTACCAGCTCGCTTGGTCCTGCCGGGTAAATCCACGCTGCCGTGGGGAGAACCCGTCGGGCTGGACCAGACGCCACGCTCCAGGTTCTCCTGTTTGACTGAGATCTCAGGTGCGCCTGCTTCCTGGAGGACCGTCTCTGGATAAACACTCAGCGAAGCCTGGTGGTGATAAACTTTACTTAGATCTGCAGAAACCTTAGCACAGATGTTAGAGCAAAGACCTGGTTGAGCAAAGAAAGTGAGAATTGGTGTCTTGGATTTTAGCTTTTTCAGGTTTAAACACAAATAAAAAACAGCTTTTAAACTTTTCTGTGACAAATATATTTATCATTTTGTCTCCGTGACCGAATGAAAAACCAGCTGAAGGTCGTCTTTGACTCTCTTTGTCTCATCAATCCTTACATCTCCCACTGAGCTGTGCAGGAATTATCCACATCCCAACTAGTTAGCATAAAACGATAGTGATTGGGCTGGCTCTGTTTTGGCTCTGCCCACCATGGACTCCCACAGACTAATAAAAAAGATTTTTTATCTCTTTATTAAGTGCAGCTCATCTTTCCAGCCACTGGAAGTTCATTCCTTAATCTCAGGGTGACCTGTGGCTCTATGGGTTTAGTTTGGGGTTGTTTTGTCACTGAAGGAGCGTGAAATTAGCACATTTGAATTAAGAAGAGGTCAGGGTTAATTTAACTCTACCTGTCGAACCAAATATCCCCGCCGACGTTCCTTCATTGCAGATGCACTGGTGTACAGCTCGCCCTGTCTGGAGGAAGGTAAGTTCCCATAATCGAATGATTTGCTGCGCATCTCAGGCAGCTCTGTGGGCAGCGTGCACGGCGCCTGCTCCGATGAAGATCGCCTCATCTCTCTCTGCTGATGGTGGCTGGAAAAGCCGCTGCCAGGCACAGTCAGGAACTCCGACTGCTTTCCCCCACCGGAGACCATAGCGTCATCCTAGGACGGAAGATAAAGGCGCGTTCAATAACGACATGCTGGGGTTTGCTTCGTAACACTTAGAACAAGCAGGTTCAGAAACATCTGAAATATAAAAACAAATAATCTAGAAAATTAAAGCGATACCAGGTTCAGTAAAGCCCTGACTCTGTGGTTATTTGGAGACAGTTCAACCTGAAAGACAGCCGCTAAGCCCAGGAGCATGTCCCACTGAGACACGAGGCAGAAGATCCAACCCTTCAACTCCCAACCCAACAAATATCCAGCGTCCTACGTTGGTCGAAGCCTTAAAGGACCTTTGTCTGAACGCTGATGCATCATCGAGGGACGGTGTCTTCCACTCTCATCTCATGAGAGCGGGGGGTGGGGGGTGGCCTAGTGGTTAGGGCATTGTGCTTGGGTCCCAGAGGTTCTGAGTTCAAGTCCCACTCCCACAGACTGCACTGAGTAAGACCCTTAACCCCACACTGCTCCCTGGGCGCCGCACAATGGCAGCTCACTGCTCCCCGAGGAGATGGGAATAGAGGACGGTGGAATGACAATAAAGTTGAATTCTATTCTATTCTATTAACAGAGCCTGACTGTTGCTTGGAGGACGTTAGATTCAGGTGTGTAGAACATGGATACTTCTAGAAGCTGCAGAACGTGGTTTTAGCTCGTTGGTCTGACCTTCGGCCTTTAGTCCATCTGATCACATACCGTTGAACGATTGACGGCGTTCAAACTGGTTCAAACCTGCTTGGCTAACTGGGACTCTGTATATTTTATGTGGGGTCCCCCCAAGGCTTCATTTCTTTCTAATTCAATATCTATATTCTAGAACCAAAAGGCATATCTATCCTAATGATCCCAAACTTCATATCTCTATGAATCATGAAGACAGTCTCATACAGTCTCTGAGTCTGAGCATAATGAGTGCTATTGCTAATGCTAATAGAATAACTAAGATTTAACATTTTAAAACTAATAACATCCACTTTAAATCTTTTCCAAAGTCTCCACTAAATGAATTGTGTTCAACAAATAAATCTGGTTATTATGCATCTGCTGGAACGTATGAGTCTAGTAACACCAGGTACCTGTTTAGTTGGTGAGACAGACTTGGGACCTTCATCTCTGTCAAAGGACATGGAGAGAGACGACGAGTGGGATAGATTACTCTCCTGACTGGGACTTCGGGAAAGGCTGGTGCAGGTTGACTCAAAGCTCGACTCCCCGGACGAGTGCTCCATGTCTGCAAGGCGCAGCCTTTTCTTCTTGGGGGGCAGCTTTTCTGTAGGCATCTGAGACAGGGTGTCACTCCTCTGTGGCAGCTGGAACTCCTCCATCTGCTGCTGCCTCTCAGGTTCCTTGGCGGATGCAGGTTCAGTATCCTTCTCTGGCTTGTCTGGCTCCTCTGTTACCCTGATCTCAGGGACTTGGATGTTAGGTTGCCTTACCAGTCTGTGTGAGTTGGGATATGGTTGGCCAGGTGAGGCTGTGGCTGAAGAAGATGAAAGGGCAGCTAGCTCACAGGAACTTTGCTGCTCCATGCTGTTAGTCTTCAGAAGAGCAGATTCAGGGCTCAGAGCATCTTCAAAGATCTCAGTATCAGACTGCTCTGAGTATTGACTAGATGGAACTCTATCTGTGGACTGGTATCCTGTCTGCTCAAAGGACTCTGACTTCTCAAAGGAATTGGGACGGGATATTATGCCAGTATGTTGGATAACTGAACCGCGGGTTGCTTTCCTGGATTCCAAGTCGGGAACTAATGCGATGTCCTCAGAGCACATGCTAGCGCATGTATCAAAGCTGTCAGACTGGCTATGAGCACTGTAAAGCGAGCCTTTGCCTATCGGTGTGGCTCTGGATCCATCCAGACTGCTCTGTTTAAACTCATAGTCGCCCACGATCTCAACGGAACCACTACAGCTACTGTCACAGTTCCCAGGACTGTCCTCATCATCCCCAACGCTCTTCTCTTTCCGTCGTTTTCGTGTTTCGGACGTGTTGACCTTAGTACCATATTGGCTATAGGGAATGTTCTCTGGGACTCCTGGGCTACGCTCACTTATTTTCATACCCAAAGAGGAGACAAGGTTTTTGGCCATGTGTCCATAGCCCTCAGCCTCTCCTATGTGGGCTTCATTACCTGATTGTTCAAACGCACCCTGCCGTTTGAGTCTGGGATGAAGGGGGTAGAATACATCATCTGGTGCCACCATGTTATCAAAGGAGACACTACCTCGAATCCCCTGAGGAGCGCTCGGGTTGGGAGGAGATGGAGTTGGCATCGAGTTACTCCGAATTAGAGTTCCAGACTCTGATGGTAGCTCCAAAAGCCCTGTACTGCTTTGGCAGGGTCCAGTTGGATAATGCTTGGGTTCTCCACAGACTGCAAGGTTTCTTGGAAAGGAACCTGGGTCCTCCACTATCTTCCCCATGTCTGTAATAGTCCCCGGCTGCTTTGCCAGGATGGTGGGGTCCGCCCCTGCTAAATTCAATGTGATTGACTGTCTCGACCTGGAGTTTGGTCTATTGTACCAAGTCCGACCAAACATAATCTCTTCGTATGTCTTGACATTAGTATTTGGAGTGCCTATTTGCAGCTCAGCACTGTCAAAAGGTGAAAAATAGCCTGAGTCTGTGCTGCCTTTGCTATGGGGACTGAGGAGGTTTAGTGACTGGGACATGCCTGGATCTGAGTTCTGGCCTTCCTTATCAAACAACCGGTGCAAGCGCTGTTTGGCATTGGGGCAGTCATCTAGTGAACGTGCTCTTCCACCTGCCTGTGATCCCAACAAGCGATGAGAGCCTTTTACATCATGAAATGGATGACAATCCATCCCAGCTGGAGGGACTCCCCCAGACTTGGGAATAATAAGGATAGGCACTTTCATTGATCCGATGGGGAGCTCCTCAGCTGAGTCTGCATAGGCTGGTTCTGTACTACCTATAAAGACAAAAACCACAGAAACACAGGGGATTATTATTTGATTCTTTTTCTTTTCAGAACTTGGTTTGTTGCTGAAAACTCACCTGCATTTTTGTCATCCTCAAAGGAGATCTGCGGGATGGGACTGTCTTTGTCTGTCAGCATTGTGGAGGCCTCAACCCCTTCCTCATCTGTGTCTGTACTCTGTTCTCCATCCGAGGGCACCTCTGCGTCACCAGCTGGGGATGCCTGATCCACGTCCCCAATAGGGGCCACTGTCGGTTCAGAAAATGGCACCAGTCCAGCTTTAATGGCATGAGCGTGAGACTTGCGATGCTTGTAAAGGTTGCTTTTGGTTTTAAAGGAAAAGCCACAGGGTATGCAAGGATATGGCCTCTCTCCAGTATGTGAGCGGATGTGTTTCTTCAGGACACTGGGTTTGGCGCAGGCCCGATTGCAGTAGGGACAAAGGTACTTCCCTGGCTTTTTTTGCTTCTGCTCTTTTTTGCCGTAGCCCTCCTCCCCGGGCTCAGAGCCTGAGCGGGAGTACTGTCCAAATGAGCTCGGTAAACTGGGAGATTTTTGCCTGGGAAACCTCCTTGCTCCGTGTGGGTGAGTATGGCCTGGGTGCTCTACAGGGTACAAGTCATCCGAGGGTAACTGGCCAACAAACGGCCAGGCATGAGGCTCTAGACCGGGCTGTGGTTTAGCTCCTGAGACAAAACGTTCAGTTTGGGGATGCTGAGGATAGGGCTGGGCAAAATGGAAATATTCTCTTTGAAAGCCTTGTGCAAAAGGTCCCTGGGGGTCTTGGGATGGTGGACCTCCTATTGCCCCAACTGCAGATGATCCAGATAGCAGCTTTGCAGAATTGCCTGGTATTCCATACTTTTGATGGGGAGCTGAAACTCCTGTTGCACCACAGGGAAAACCCTCTCGATGTCTAACCTCTGGATCAGCAAACGTGCTGTGCTTGGTGTTTGCAGTAGGCTCAGATGCCCACTTTCTTTCAAGAGGTGCCTTCTCCTTCACTGTTTCCTTGATCAGGCCTTTGTGCCCAGAGGCAGCTGCTTCACGAGCCTCCATTTTTATTAACCTCCTCTGGTTTTAGTAAGAGAGGGAAAAGGGGACGGTGGGTTAGTTAAGAGAGAAGGTACCGAAGGGTCTAAAAGGTCTGAAAGTACCCTCGCATGTTAACTGAACCTTAGGAGGCTGCTAACAGGTTCAAACAAAGGAAGATTGTGCCTCCATCTCTGAGCAAGACTTAGTGGCGAGTCCGACTGAAAACGGGAATCAAGAGGCGCGGTTGAAGGGGGAGTTTTAGTACTCAGCATCAGAGATGCATATCGTCTTTTCAATGTCATCAACTTTGTTGTGCATCGTCTTTCATTCCTGATCGCAGAAGAATCTTTAGTGATCTGAGAAGAACAGAAGAAACAGTCTTTATGTTCTTAGTCAAATTTCTGAAATAATTAAAATTTTTATCATATTCAAATTCTTTTAAAGGCCCCTGTATAGTATACATGGTTAATATTCATTTATATCAAAGGCATGTTGATTTAGCAATTATTGCTTAAAGCTGTAATACATCAAGGCTATGGTGTACATCTGAAGATTAAATCGGAGATTTAATTTAAAAGTTATTCTTTCAGAATACCTCTGTAGTTTCAAAAGGTTCTCAATGGTCTCAGGAAGATCCCTGCAACACAACAAGACACAGAAAATGGCTTATTAGTAACTGAAAAGGCTACAGAAGTGACCTTCCTTTCCCCTCATAAGCAGCTTTATCACTGTGACATAATCAGTTATACTCTGCGGATTACGAGCTGCATGTCTGATGTACAGAAATAAACATTCCTCACTGCTTGATTGGTTCCTAACACAGGAACCCATCTGCAGTTTTTGCCTTTTCCCTCCCTCCTCCCTCCCTCCATCTTTCACTCGGTGAGTCACCGGTGAAAAGCAAACCCACGCTGTTCCTAAAAAGACACAAAAGCTTATAAATAGAGTTATGGAAGTGACGTTCAAGTGTCATAATGTGTGTAGGCGGCTGAAAAGGCCAAGCTGAAGAGCAGCCATCAGCGCTCGCACCTTTTCCTTCCTCTCAGAGAGTCGCGGCTCAATGGAAGCAGATCGAAAAGCAAACAGAGTGCAGACAAACAGAAAGAGGCGAAGAAGTAGAAAGCGAGCGCGCAGGCTTTGCAGCAAGGCTGCAGCAGACGGTGTGTATGTGTGTGTTTCCGCTGTTTAACGTTTCTTAACCGCAGCAACACCTGACAGCAGAGGAAGAACAAACTGCAGAGCACACGTAAACATCCCTGCTGAAGCTGCAGATTTGCTTTGCATTTCCTCAGCTGAGGGTTTTAAAAACCTCCCAAACACTAGCATTGCAACACCCCCCCCCGCTGCTCGTAAGGAGGACTCTGTGACGTGTGTGTGGGTGTGTGTGTGTCTTGGGGCCCAAAGTGTAATCTATAAATAGCACCTGAGAAAACATACTTTATTATTAGCAGCAGGAACGTTAAATTTGGGCAACGTTGCACTTTTAGATGTGCTCCCCGTTCAAACAAACACATACCAGAGACACTGGCTCACTGGATCATGTTTTCCAGCTTTCCATGGCGTTCATGTTGCAGGAATGTGGTGCTGAACCCAAAAACTAAATCCTCCGTTTGGTGAATACATTTCCTCTGCTGAACATGGACCGCATCAAACTCTGTACTACCGCCCTGCAACTTCTAGGTACTTCAAGTCTACGATCAGATGAAGGTCCTGTTATCAGAGCTGGAATTCTGGATGAAGGATTCCAGGGAGAAGAAACAGGGAAGCATCTGACAGGATGGCAGCGATAGAAACACCGGCCGACATCCTTCAATAGAGCATGGAGAGGGAAAACATCCAACCATCATCCATCCATCCATCCAACCATCATCCATCCATCCATAATCCAACCATCCATCCATCCATCCATCCATCCATCCATCCATCCATCATCCATCCATCCATCCATCCATCCATCATCCATCCATCCAACCATCATCCTTCCATCCATCCATCCATCCATCCATCATCCAACCATCCAACCATCCATCCATCCATCATCCATCCATCCAACCATCATCCTTCCATCCATCCATCCATCCATCCATCATCCAACCATCCATCCATCCATCCATCCATCCATCCATCCATCCATCCATCCATCCATCATCCATCCATCCAACCATCCATCCATCCATCCATCCATCCATCCATCCATCCATCCATCCATCCATCATCCAACCATCCAACCATCCATCCATCCAACCATCATCCTTCCATCCATCCATCCATCCATCCATCCATCATCCATCCATCCATCCATCCATCCATCCATCCATCCAACCATCCATCCATCCATCATCCAACCATCCATCCATCCATCCATCATCCATCCATCCAACCATCATCCTTCCATCCATCCATCCATCCATCCATCATCCAACCATCCAACCATCCATCCATCCAACCATCATCCTTCCATCCATCCATCCATCCATCCATCCATCCATCCATCATCCATCCATCCATCCATCCATCCATCCATCCATCCATCCATCCATCCATCCATCCATCATCCATCCATCCAACCATCATCCTTCCATCCATCCATCCATCCATCCATCCATCCATCCATCCATCCATCCAACCATCCATCCATCCAACCATCATCCATCCATCCATCCAACCATCCATCCATCCATCCATCCATCCATCCATCCATCCATCCATCATCCATCCAACCATCCAACCATCCATCCATCCATCCATCCATCCATCCATCCATCCATCCATCCATCATCCAACCATCCAACCATCATCCATCCATCCATCCATCCATCCATCCATCCATCCATCCATCCATCCAACCATCCAACCATCCATCCATCCATCCAACCATCATCCTTCCATCCATCCATCCATCCATCCATCCATCCATCCATCCATCCATCCATCCATCCATCCATCCATCCATCCATCCATCCATCCATCCAACCATCATCTTGTGATAATCACATTGACTTGTTTTGCCTTACAGAAACCTGGCTGCAGCAAGAGGATTATGTGAGCATAAATGAGGCAACTCCTTCAAGCTATTTAAATTTTCACATCCCCAGAAGTTCTGGGCGAGGAGGAGGAGTAGCAACAATCTTCGAGTCTGACTTACTGATTACTCCCAAAACAATTAATACCTACAACTCTTTGATCATTTAACCCTTAATTTCCCTGATCCAAATTTCAAAGCAGAAAACCTCTTCTTTTTGTAACTTTGTATCGTCCACCAGGTCCTTACTCTAAATGTTTAGATGAGTTTTCAGAGTTCCTTTCTGATTTGGTATTAAATACTGACAGGGTCATCATAGTGGGAGATTTTAACATCCATGCTGACATTGAAGGCGATAGCTTAAGAGCAGCCTTTAATGCTATCTTAGACACTATTGGCTTTGTTCAAAATGTGAATAGTCCCACACATTCTCATCTTCATACTTTGGATCTTGTGCTGACATACGGCATAGAATGTGAAGAAATAACAGTATTTCCTCACAACCCTGTCCTCTCTGACCACTTTCTAATAACCTTCAGGATTACTTTAATCCTAATCCAGGTAGCCGTAGAATCTGAACCGGGTTTAAACTGATTCGATTCAGTTGAACTTTTAAAGTTACTAAAACTATTGTCTTCATCTAAGCCTTCAACTTGGATGTTAGATCCAGTTCCAACCAGGTTATTTAAGGAGGTATTCCCTTTAACCAGGTTATTTAAGGAGGTATTCCCTTTAACCAGATTATTTAAGGAGGTATTCCCTTTAACAAGGTTATTTAAGGAGGTATTCCCTTTGATCTCCTCCTCCATTCTAGATGTGATTAATCTATCTCTGTTACAGGGATATGTACCTAAAGCTTTTAAGGTTGCTGGAATTAAACCTCTGCTTAAGAAAGCGTCTCTTGACCCAGATGACTTGGTCAATTATAGACCTATATCCAATCTTCCTTTCTGATCTAAGTTGTTGCCAAACAAGTGTGCGATCACTTCCACCATAATGAACTTTTTGAAGAGTTTCAGTCTGGCTTTAGAGCTCATCATAGCAGAAAGGTATTGTCTCTGTAGATGATGTGTTGTGAATCGTTGCTATACGAATAAACTGAACTAAAAAAGGACCCTTTCTGTGCAGACAGGTAGGGATGGAGATGCTGTACCCCTCCAGATCCTGCAGGAAGGTGCTCACTTCCTGTGGGTGAGAGTGGCCGGGGAGTGGAAGTGGGCATGTTTCTCTTCTTCTTGTAAGAGATTCAACTTTAAGGTCTTTAATTGAGTATTTTTAGAGATTGAATCATGTTTTAATGTTATGTGACTGGTTTCATAATAAAACTCCTGAATGGTTACAGACTGCAGAGCGAGTAGGAGTGTGTAGTGAATGGTTTACATAAAGCTTTCTTCTTACGCTGAGCCTGGCCCAGTTCCTGGCGTAGGAAGAGACACGGCTGCTGGCTGTAGGCTACGTGTTTGTGTAGCGGCGTGGGACGTGCATGTGTAGGCTGGCAAAGGGCATGAGGAGATGCTCCAGTTGTTGGCAGATCAATAAAAGACTCTTCCTCTCAGATAAAAATATTGAGGCTTCCATTTATCTGCATGCTTTAAATAACCAGAGTTATTTAACAGTGAGGGCAGCAGGAATCAGCTCTGCTTTCATAAACACAGAAACATCCCAGAGCTGCTTTACACCAAGCTGCCTGATTTTACTGGATAATCACAGCTGATAGCAGCATTTTATTTAATAATTTCAACATTTTATTCACTTTGGACGCAGATGTTTTCACGTATGTGAACCAAGCAGGAGGCTCCAGACAAACAAACCATTTGAAGCTTTTCTGTTTGCCTCTAATAAAATCCCATTCTAGTTCTATCTTAATTTACTGTTCCTGATAAAACCACGGAATGAATGAAGAAGACAAATGCATCAAGTCAACTTAGTTTTATAAGAATGCAACTTTGGAAACAATTTGGATCTCAATCTGAAAATATTTAGCATTAGTTGAGCCATGAAAAACCGTGATGTCACTAGCGTAGCAGTACCGGTACCAGTACCAGTACCAGTACCAGTACCAGTACCGGTACCACAATGTTTGTTAAAGCTGTGCAAAGCAAGACGGCATCCAAAATAATGACATCTGAGTCATAAACGAGTCCGAGTTTTTACTGTTGTTATGGTTTCTTCCTGTTCAAAGGGAGTTTTTCCTCTCCACTGTCGCTACAAGCATGCTTAGTGTGAGGGATTGCTGAAGAGTCAATGAGTCGATGCAATCAGCTGGTTTTCCTTAGATAGAAAACTTTGTATCAATCTGACTGGATGATCTGGTTGAACTGGATCTATAAAGTGACCTGAGATGACATGATGTGAATTGGAGCTATAGAAATAAACTGAATAGAATTGAATTGGTTGTAATATTGACCCCATTCACAGTCCAATGACCTGTCAGATGATGTCACTCTGACTTCCTGGTTCAGATTTGAACTAAAGGCACCACCAACCTAACCAACACCACAAAAACCTGCATTTTCCAGGGAAGCAAGTCTTTTTGTTTCCATCGGAGAGACGAGTTCATCCGACTGTCAGCAGGTCCGTTTTGTTCAACACAACATTCAGCAGGTATGTACAAG